AGTCGGAAGAAAAATTAATTCATCAATTTTTTCATCTTTTTTATTTTTCTTTCTTAATAAATATAATATTTTATTTATTCACCTAATTTTTCCTTCGCCTAACTTTTTATTTTTTTAACATACCAAACAGTACGAAAGCTACATGGAAAGATACGAGAGATCCAATCTACGTACGAATGCTACATGTAAAAGATATGAGAGATCCACGCATGAGGCTAGGCTGGGGCCTGGGGCTCACGTTTGCGGCGGACCACAAGGCTGCGACGCTAGATCATGCCTATGCAGCTGAAGAAAAAACTACGGAAGTATCAGATGATCAATTTATAAATGTTATTTACAAATTTTGAAAGTCATTCAAAAATTTTGAGAATTATTTATATTTTTTTTGAGTTTTTTGAAATCAATCCCAAGTAACTCACAAAAATTATAATATGATCTCAACAATTATAAATTACTTTGTTATAAAATGATTCTTAAAAATTATAAAAATACTTGAAAAAGTTACAAAATTTTAAATTATGGTATGATTTTTTTTCTCGATACCGTAGCCTTCTAGGTAGAGTCAGACATAGGGAGTTGTTTATGGTACAAAAAAAATTGATAATCTCAATTTATAATATTTATAGGTATTTTTATTTTATTTATTGAGTGTTTTTATTACTATTATGATATTTAAAAAAAATAAGAAAAATAATTTTCATAAAAGTAATAAAAATATCTACAAATATGATAAAAAAATACTTACAAATATGATAAATCACTCATAAAAGTGATATTTGTTTTTTTATTAAAAAAAAGTGATAAAATAATTACTACAAATATAATAAAAATAGTTACAACAATGATAAAAATATCCATAAAAGTGATAAATTTTTTAATTATAAAATAACTTATAAAAATATTATTTAAAATAATAAATTTTAAAGATATGATCCCAAAATATTTTTGATGGTACCGTTGTTAAGTATCCCAATCTGGACCAAAATATATTTGAATACGGATTTTATAATTCTCTAATCCAGACCATTTTACATTGAATTGGATTGAATCGAATTCGAATTCGAATTCGAATTCAAATTCAATCTAATCCCATTCTCCCATGGTGATCCAAACACCACCATAGAGGTTGTGTGTTTACATGGGGTAACGAAGTACTTGACTATAGTACTGAAATTCAATGTTTTGGTACCATACGGAAATTTAATATTTTGGTACCATATTAAAATTTATCACATTTATAATAATTTTTATTATACTTGTATGTATTTTTATTATTATTATGGTACATAAAAAAATAGTAAAAATAATTACAACACTCATAAAAATATTTATAGATTTGATAAAAATATCCATACATGTAATAAAGTATTCACAAAAATAATAAATTTTTTTATTATATAATAACTTATAAAAATTTTTAAAAAAATTTAAAATAATAAATTTTACTAAAGTTATGGTATCGAAATTTATTTTGCGGTACCTAAGTCAAGTCCGGTAATGAATGAAGAGATTGAACGGTTGAACAAAGTCATGAATTGTCAAATCAAACACATCAACTTCAAGGGAAATGCTTCTCTCAAACCGTCTTATTGTAGTCTCCCAACATATCAAGCGAGTGGGTCCAAAAGGTTCACTGGTGTGGTCTAGTTTTCCATCATCAACCACACTTCTTTCTTTCTTTCTGTTTATTTTGTGCATCCTATGAAACACTCTGCTATGTACCTAAACGTGGTCGGTCCGTTTTGCCGTCAACTGTCCAGTACCTCATTTACAACACCACGTTTTTGTATATCACAGACATCGAGAAAGACACCGTTGTGCTATCTGACGAGTCCAGAACTAAACCAAGTCTGGATTCAGCTTGTAGATTAAATTCAAAATATCAAAAAAAAGATCAGGTTTGACTCTTAGCTTCAATTCAATTCAAAGCTAAAGAGTTCAAAATAAATTAGGGCACAAAAATTATCGAGATAGTCATTACTTTAAGATAATATATATCGTTAATTGTAGTTAGCATCTCTAGTAAATTAGTATCTTAACCTTCATGTCACCGCTTCAACTAGGATTATGCGCCTAAAAAGTGTAAGCTTCTTACACATGGGAGCAAATCTCACATACTATACCTTGATCTTACTCTTGTTCTCTCTCTCCCTTATTACCTTATACTCTCGCATTAATAGTATTTTTTGACCATTGTTATCGTTTTTAGTAATTAGGTCATCCAGATCCAACCATCTAATCTTTGTATCTTAATATTAATTATTACATTAATTGTTTTACACCACACACTCGACTGAGTTGATTGTATATGGTCAATTTTTGTGCACCATCAATATCAAAATTTTTAATTTTTTTAAAATTAAATTATATAATTTTTTGAGATGTTAGTTACAACTTATAAATAATATAATCAATTCTAAAATATTATGATCGATGTTCAAATGTTAAATTACAATTTTAAAAAATCAAATTATAACTCATAAAAGAGAAATTAAAACTGCTCAAGGAAATCATATTATTGATTATGAATTTCCCTAAACCAATTGTAAATTTTCCTTTCCAAAGTGTAACCTTACTAATAAAAATAATAAATTTTGGTACGATATTAAAAAAAAAAATTGAGGATCATTTATAAATTTTGGAAGTCATTTACATGTTTTGAGGATCCCAAGATAACCCCAAAAGTTGTATATGACTTCCAAAATTTTATAACTTAAACTATAAAAGTTATACCTTAATCTAAAATTTATAATTTTTTTTTGTTATAAATAAACTAAAAAACTTGTACTGTAATCCACAAAACTTATACAACTTGACAGTGTAATATTAATTTTTTTTTTATGATACACTAATCTTCCCCTAAGAGTTTGATGAATAACCAACTTAGAAACTGTAAACATATGATCCGCGTGGCTTACAAATAACATCGTTTAAGAGCATCTTTAATAAGGTTTTGTATTTTAGCTATTTAAAAGTGTATTTTTTTTATTTTAATTACTCACTTTTTTAATATATATACTCCAACATATTTTTTTATATTTTAATTATTTTTTTTAAATATTATTTCTTATAACTTGTACCTTTGTTGGGACTATTAAAGGGAGAGAGAAAAAAAAATAGAAGGAAAGATAAAGAGTGGACAAGTAAGGTAAAAAATGACAAAATGAGAGAGAATATATTATAAATTTTAGCTATTTTGTAGCATGGTTTTTGGTTTTGAATAATTAAATTTTAACTATTTTAGAGTTTTAGGTATTCTTTTAAAAATGCTCTAAAACAACAAACCATAGAGAAAAAAAAATTGGTATTGTCTGGAATGATATAATTTTTTATGGTAAAATTATATATTTGAAAGGAGAAATTATAAGTTAGAACTGATGAACTAAAACTCATGATCGATTATAAATATCCATGATTGATTGTAGACTTTTCTTAATCAGTTATGACTTTTATCTTATGAGTTATAGTTGAACTTTTAAAAGTTGTAATTTTTATATTTGTTATAATTGATAAAAGAAAGTCTACGATCGATCACAGATATCCATAAGTAATCATAAATTTTTTTTTTAACCAGTTGTAACTTTTCTCTTATCGTTAAAAATTATAACTTTTACGATAGTTCATGTCTTTTACAAATTACTTAATTTTAAAAAATTATAATTTTGGATAAAATCCTGCCCGCGGTGCGGTAGAGTTTCCCGCAAGCCATAGAGTGCAAACATGCCTAGGCCACAGCTATGTTACTTTAACATAGAGCCCAACAAAGAAAAGAAAGAGGAAGCCAAGTGAAATAAGCCTTCTTGAAGTTTGGAGATACTTCCATTTCTACGTTCAAAGAAGAAAGACAGATACCGGCCAGTAATTGTACACATGTAAACAGCACTTGACAGGACAACTTTCACGCTGCTTATGCCTTGCAGGTGTACCAATCCTAAATGTAAAAAGCCCTGGATTGCGGAGAACACCTCCAGAACTAGGACAAAATGAAAGACTTACGAAAGAAAAAACCAAAAAACAAACAAAATAGGAGAAGACTGTGATACCCAAAAAAAAAAAAAAAAAAAGGGTATCATACTTATAAATTTTAGAATTTTTGTGATTTTTATTATAATTTTTTTAACTTAATTTACAACAAAAATTTACAATTTTATCAGTCATGTTATAATTTTTAGGTTTGAATTATAATATTTTTAGGTCTAATTGTGGTAACTTACAATTGATTTTAAAAATGTTGGAATCGATTTGCGACCTCCAAAAGTTTTTAAAAAATCACAAAATTTTGTAATGATGGTTTGTATCAAATCTTTTTTTAAGAACCTCCCCAATTCAAAGGAAATGAAATATCCTCCGAATTAGTTCGAAATTGGAGGACCATAGCCGATGGCAGGAAATAAAATTTGCCCATCAAATAATCTTAATTTTGTTTCGGCCCAAATAATCCTACGATCAAGTCACAAATTGCAGTAATATGTCAAACATTTGAAAGGAGTAGTCTAGTGCATCAGAACCAAAAAAAAAAAAAATCTTTACTGTACCATCATTTACAACTTTTGTAGTAATTATTTTTATCATTTTTGTAATACTTTGTGATCGATCAATCATAACATTTTTAGTGGTAAAAAACAGTTTCACAAAATTGATAAAAATACCCACAAACGTTTTTTTTTTTATGGCGTTGTTTTCTCCTATTCGAAAAGCTTTTGATGCGAACTCTGAGGACTGCTCGTACATGGCCAATTTTGCAATGACTTAAAACACATCAATTCGTGTCCAGTACACATGTTCTTACCTCTTATACAAATTCATAAACAAGAGATGACAATGAAGGAAATGATTTTGCTCCAATAAAACAACCCATTGAAAAGAAAAAAAAAAGAAAAGCAAGGAAGGAAGTTGCACAAGGATGTTAAGGGGTCTAATTCTGATCCAACACACCATGAAAAAAACTATCAAATCTGCAAAACATTCATTTGAGGATCACTGCAGGGAAATTCAAAATGTGAAGCGAAGAACTTGAAGGGTTATAGTATGATACAGTCAAAATGCCACTTGAACAAAAAAGGTTTTCAAAATCAATCAAAACGCCGCATGATGCAATTGTCATTCCCTAGCTTCCCTGAAGAACAGAGGAGCATTATCGTCTATAAAGAGATCTTCTGGCAGAGTTTCATACAATACCCCTTGCATTTGAACAACAGAGTTATCGTCTAGGAATACATCTTACAGTAGATGTACAAAAGAAAAGGTGCATGGACCAAGTGCCCTGTAAATGCAATACGAACAATTAAATTCAGTTATAATCCTAGTTTGGTTTGTTGGCCAAACTACTTTTTCAATTAGTAGTGCGTTTCTACCTGCTAGCTACTTCATCTTCTGCATTAGTAATAGGGCATGCTAGTATCATTGGTGGATGGAGGACAATGGTGGAGAGGAATGCTTGTATTGAGAAAGTGAGGTTGATGAACAGCAGCTGAGGAAGCAGTGAAAGTTGAATTAGCGAATCCTGATGATGCTGCAGTAGAGAAGAATGGCACAGGAAAAACCCCAGGATAAGGGCTCTGGAATTGCGATGCCCAGTTTGGTGAGGAATTGACTTCCATACTCTTCTCTATTGCTTTTCCCTGGTGTAAACGAAAACAGATGGTATTATTAATCAACTAGGACAAGGATTAATTTCCTGCCAGTACCGTGTGAGTAAATAATTTGAATCAATAATACTGATAACCTGAAAAAATCACAGCTAGTTCATTAAGTTTAGGTTTTATGCCACATATAGCATTTTGGCCAGCAAGCTAATACGCGTCCAGTAAGATTTTTTTTCCCTTTTGTATTGAAACAACTTGAATAATCAGATTGAAAGAAGTTTACCTTACAGGAGGGAAAGAAACTGGTGTTCACACCACCCCAGAGAGGAGTGTGCTCAGACACCAATACTTGGCCATGAGGCAGAGTTCCCAATGCTGCTGAAGCAGAGCACCCAGTCTGTAAGAGAAAAAGAGAGGCCTGCTAAGCAAGCTTACTGGAAACCTTCAAAATTGGACCTTATTCGTGCAAATAGATTATCCAAGCACTCTGATGTATCTCATCTCTAATACAGAGCAATCCAAAATACCTGTGCTCTCCTGGCCTCAGACATGTCATCTAAGTGACATAGCAGATGCAAATCTTCCATTTTGTTGTTCCCATTTTGGTCGTCAGCCAAATAAGGGGGAGAAATGCGCAAGTTGAGATCCAGATTATGACTGATGCCTGTAAAGTAAAATTCAAGGAACTCATCCCTAAGCGAAGGAAAATTTTCACAGCCAAACAGGAAATTATTCAGATAATCAGTGGTACCTCCATTATCAGCCTCAGAATTTATATCCCCTTCATATGAGCTTGGCTCAAAATTGGTGACTGCCTCCCTTCCATTGCATTTTATAGCAGCCTTGTCATAAGCCCTGATTAACATAATAAAAAACTTGATGAAGTTAAATGAATTACCAAGCAGGCTGAGAGGTAAAACAATAGAGCAGACAGCACAAGGGTGACTGAAGTAATGTTAATTGGAACCTTGCAGCTTCTATCTCGCTGTCAAACAGCCCAAGATACATATACCTGCAGTGAAACATAACACGGTAATCCATCAAGGATTGGCAAATTTGTAATTTCAATCAGGTGGTTTCTTACTTCTTGCCAAGAAACTGCCCCATTCGAGCTTCCCAGCGTCCACATTTATGCAGTGTAACCCCCCTATACTTCGAACTTCCTCTGGAGAAACCCGTGCTCTGACGACGAAGTATATGCACAAAATCTTCTTTCGTCAAGTTCTTCATCTGCAAAATGATCAATTCAAGTAAACCAAGTCAAGGTTCAGGTAGAAATGGCAGTAACTACGATAAGTGATACTGGCTTTCGTTTCTCACCGACCTGCTTAAGATCTTCTTCATAATCAGTGATACTAAAATTGATATCTGCATCAAGTCCACGGAACTTAATTGCAGCTCGATCATACGCCCTAAAACCAAGTTTAGAATGGAACTTCCCACATGATATCACTCACAAATATTTCAAATGATAGAACTACTGATAAATTGCAAACCACAAAGACTATTACCTAGCTGCAGAATGTGCAGTATCGAATCCCCCTGTGAGATTAAGTACACATTTAAACACAGCAGCATAGTCCATTGCAAGGCATGAAGAAAATGAAATCTAGGCAGCTAGAGAAGCAATAAACAAAGTCCAGTGAAACATAGTAATCTTATTTTCTTACCCAAATAAACTTGCTTTCCGCAATCCCTGCGAGAAAAAAAAAATATAGCAACCAAATATGAGTCCTCATCATGACCAGTATTTTCCAACAGCATATAACCAATAGAAAAACTGTAACATAAATCATACAACTGAGCAACCACCATAATCCATATCTTCAAATCATACATGTTCAGTCCATTTTTATATGAACTTATTTATACTGCTAAGACGCTAAATCCTAAATCCGAGAAGACCATGACCACAGATCAACATTTCAACCAAACAATAGCTGGACAAAATAAATCATTTAAAATCGGAGACAAACATGATCGTAGTCTCTCAACAAATTGAACCAACTACTTTTCTAGCAAAAAAACAAATTAATGCTGATCACAAATGCCATAAACAGATGAATGATCATAATGAATATATACAAGTTGACATTTATGAACACAGACAAGCATATATTCACTAACCAAATATGCGATTCCCATCTTTTAGTCCTCCGATAAAATGTAACTCCTCGGTACTCTGAGCTCCGAGATATTGGTCCTCTCCTGCTCTTCTTCCCCTGCTGTCTCTGCAGCTGAGGCACAATCCTCAGCTCCATCGGACCACCGTAATTCCCCTCCTTAACCGAAAGATCCAACCACTGCTGCCGCGAACAGAACACCTCTCCACCACCTCCCCCATTCACCGGAAAAAGCTCCTTCGTCACAAACACCGACCTATTCTCCCTGTCTTCGATATTATTTCCATCAATTTTGCACTTCAATACGCCGAAGCTGTAGGCGAGCGCATCTCCGCGATGATCAGAGCACGAATCAGTATCGCCGGCTGTGCTACAGGAGTCAACATTAACGACGGAGGAATTGGATGTGCCGGAATCGTCCATTTGACCACTGTACAGTTCCGGAAGCTTCTCCCTCCCCGTCTCGACTCGATCGGAGAGCGAATCATCAGGAAAAACGGTGAGATTGAGGTCCAACATCACTTCACTCCTCAGATGTCCCCTAACTCCTCACTATCTCGTACAATCAATCTATATATATAGAGAGAGAAAGAGAGCAATATACGTCTATATAGAGGTAGTGAAACGATCATGTAAAAGTACAATCAATATATATAGAGAGAGAAAGAGAGCAATATACGTCTATATATAGGTGGTGAAATGATCATGTAAAACTCAGACGCTATGATCGATGAGATTCAATCAAAAGAGAGATAGAGAGACTGGTTTCAGCAAAAAATCAAAGAAGAAAAAATGAAGGAAATGCAGAGAAAGCACCAAAGTATTTTGAGTAAGAAATTGCTAGCCAAGAGAGGGTTGAATTGCTGAAGAAGAAACGAATATATACATACACGAGTATACATATACATACGTTCGCGCGCGTCTTTTGTGTGTTTGTTTGTGTGTGTTCCGATAGAATTTAGAACTGCATTGAGGGAGAGAGAGAGAGAGAGAGAGAGAGGAATGGGAATTCAGTCGGCGAAGAAATGGGATCAATGCCAGCTCTTATTAAGTTACATTGTAGAGAGAGAGAAAGTGTGCCGTTTTCTGTATGGAGGTGGATACGACCAGAGGAAACAACAGGGAAAGGCTACAGCATCCATACCGTCGTCCTTCCATTAATCTCCACTGTTACTTTTAAATTGAATAATATGTAATTATTAATTTAAAATAATAAAATTATAAAAAATTATACATGTGATATATTTTTGGGTCCGGGTCCGGGTCCGGGTCCTGAACCTCTTTATTGCATAGCAGGAATTCTGATTTTCGAACGTAATCATTTTAAACACAAAATAAACCATTTTATGTATAAAACAATATCGTTTTAAAAAATAACATCTACTATACGGTAAAAAGTTATGTCATATATTTTTATTAGTCGAAAAATAAAAATTTATATATCTATCTATATAAATAAAATAATTATTTTTCAGAAGAGATACTTTGAGAAGTCATCCCTTTAGAATTTTTATTTAATTAATTATAAAGTTACATATTCTCTTATTAATAATTAATACTTAGTTAATATAACCATATTTTCCCCATCTTATTAATTAAAATAATCAACCTTCATTTCATTTTTTTTTTTTTTACAAAAATCAGTTTTAATCTCTTATAAAATTTAATAATTCTTAAACTACCCATGTTGTATGATAAGAAAAGAGAAAGTCAGAAATAATGAGAAGGAATGAGAAAAAACAAGATGGGTTATAAATTTGGGGCATCACACGGAACGACTACTAAGCTATATATATTATGTATATAAAACAAACAAATTAGAATTTAAAATTTTTTAATTCAAAATTTAAGTTTCCCTTCAATCAGAAGCGATCATGTTTCTTTTATAACTACCACTCAATTAAAGTTTGAATAATAAAAAATTAAATAAAATGAGATTGATAACAAAAATATAAATTTCGGGCAGTGCACAATTATCATCGGTAAGATGGGACGTGTGAAGGAAAAAAAAGGAGAAAGTAGGCGATACTATTTGGATTCATACATATTATTTTTTACTTTTAGGGTATCGTGTAATTTTGTTTTAACTTATGTACGAGTTAAGAGATCGATTCATATACTAGAATTTTACCCTTTGTTCTATTCAGTATCGCAAACCTAAGTGATATAAGTGCATCTTTACTCGCTGAGAATAAGTTATGAGATTCCTCCGAATCCAAAAAAATCTACTTCTTCTCGTAGGTAAGAGATATTAGATTCTATACCTTTTACACATTTTTAGGGTCAATCTGTAAAACCCAATAAATTTAAATTTTTGTAAATAAGGGTAAAACGGTAATTTTGTCACTGTAATACGGGTTGGAGACCTGAATTTTTCTAGATCTCGGATGACGGAATAGACCTCACCGTTGGATTCATCTCGCAAAATCTAGTTACTACGTCAAATTTCATTTAATTTCGAGATAGTCGGATTTTTTGCGTTTAACGAGGCAATCGAGTCTCAGGTGACCCAAAAACGGAATTTTCAATAAAATTTTGAAATTTAGAAAACAATTAAAGGTAAATTAAAATAAAATTAATTTGAACTTGAACCGGAATGAAATTTAATCGTTTCGGGATGAAAATGGACCCAGAAACAAAAGGGCCGTGTGGCGCGTTGTGAGTCAAGTATCCTAAGAGTATAAATAAGGGGAAAAATCAGATTGTTCCCCCATTTCTTCAGCCGATTAACGCCAGAGGAGAAGAGGGGGAAAAATGGAGGAGCTCTTCACTTTTCTCTACGATCTACGACTCCACGGTACTCAAATCCACTCAGGGTAAGAACAAAAGTTGTTCTCCTTACCGAGGGCTACGCGATTACATAAAAAATGACGGGTTTCACCGAAGGTTAAAAAATGAGATTTTGGAGAAGTGAGGATTCAAGGTTGTTTTGGGTTCTTGGGGCTTCCCAACGTCATTTTACGTTTCGAGAGGTAGGAGTTCTCCTACTTTGGTTCATTTTTCACTTGTAATGTTATATGAAATGTGTGGGTTAAAAGAAAATATGTATTTCACTCATTTATGTATATGAAATAGGTGAAATGGGTATGAAAAACGAGTATGTAATGGGTTGGAATAAAATTTTCTAGCTCGAAATTGTGATGTGAAAATTGTTTGTTTGGTAATTCCATGGGAAAAGTGATTATATGAGCATGTTATATGTTTTATATTATGCGTTGTGAATGAGGTGACAATTCTTATATGATAATATAAATTGTTGCCTTGAAGGTGTTTGCCAAAATGTTTATGTGTGGATTGAGTTGTTATGATTTGATGATGTATAACATGCTTAGAAAATATGTTGGAAAGAAATATTAATATGTGCTCCTTGAGATATTGACATTGTGATGATTTATGAAATTCATATGCATATGATATGAATTTTCATGGAACATGTAAACATGTGGTTTAAAATTGCTCATATGACATTCATTACATGTGGGCACGATGTTGAAATAACAACAATTCATTACATTGTATATACACGTAGACATCGCAATTTATGGGTGTGGGTGCATGGTTGACATCAAACACCACGTAGGTGGATGATGGGTGGACTCGAAAAAGTTGGATTGAATGTTCAACTGAGTTGCACGGTTGCATGAAAAGGACTTGCGTCGGGGTAGCAAGAAGAGTTAGACTATCCCTCGGGTGAGAGACCCGGTATTTAGATACGCACTTGTGTTGGTATGAGAGCCCATAAAGTGTGTCGGTGTACGTGAAACTGTTGGTGGAAGTCCATGAATTTCGTGTCGGNTGAGAGCCCATAAAGTGTGTCGGTGTACGTGAAACTGTTGGTGGAAGTCCATGAATTCCGTGTCGATTGGGTGACCGTTAGTGTAAGTCCATAAATACCCAATTTAAGAAAGACTCAGAGATTTTAGTTAGCCATTAGGTGTGTAACACAAATGGCGGGGGCTTAGGGAGCCCGATTTGATTTTCACTGCATAATATGGGGTGAAGGTAGATAGCCAGAGCTAGAAAAGCTCGGTGTTAATACACATTGACATGACATGTGTTGTGGAGCTGGGAAGGGCTTGGGTAAATTGCATGAATGAACATCATCTCATTTCATGGCATAGTATGTTAGATTTCAATCTTGACTTGCTTAAGTATTAATTGGAATGGATTTTGGTTGTGTTTTGTTGCATAACACATTTCATATGCACTTAGGTGGGGAGTAGCCCTTGTAGGAAATTTTCTACTGGACGTTGGCTCACCCTATATGGGAACATATTTTAGGTGCGAGGTTTGTATCGGTGGAGGACTCACATTCGGGGCCTCAAAGATGAAGAAAAATCGGTTTGTGACTTTTGAAAACAAGTTTTTGTAAAAATTTTTGTTTAAAACCCATTTGACATGTAAATGTATAGAATGAGTTTGTATTAGACGTTGCATATATTATATTATATGTGAAAAACATGATTTAGTATGTTTTGGATGAAAAATATAAGTTTTGGAATGGGTTAAAATCGACAACAGGTGAATTGGGCAAAATTGGACAAAGTGTATCAGTACTGCGTACTGGTACAGTCTCCCCAGAAGGAAAAGCGTACCGGTACTGCGTACCGATACTGTCTGTCCAGAGGGCAAACCGTACCGGTACACAATACCGATACTGTCTCTTAAAATCTGAAAATTTTAAATTATTTTGGTAACCTCTTGAACTTTGTCTTCTTAGTTCCAACGATACAAATGGACATTAAATGAGGTATATTGAGGCTTATTGGACCTCTGTTGAATTAAATGATTAAAGGAACACGGGTTATAAATGAATAACGAAACACGGATAACACATGTGAGTTAAAATCCCGGGTATTGGGATATTATTGGTGAGATGTTGGCTCAAGGGTCACTCACGAGCATTCTGTGGGTTGATGGGTTGTCAACGGGACCTCCTATTTTAGTGGTGCCATAGTTTGGTATCAGAGCATAGGTATACGAATTATCTAGAACTTGATGGGCATTGGGTTTAGACCATTGTATTCATAGTACATTTCATCTTATGTGCTTACATTGTGTTACATGATTACGTGTTATGTGATTGTGTGAATGATATACATGGTAAAATGTATATGGAAAGGGACACTATGGTTAGAAAATATAACTTTGGGGGTCGAAAAAGAAATGAACGGGATAGTTTAAGGTATAAATGTTTACTAGTGGATGGTATAGAGTCTACTAGGGAAACAAGGAGAAAAATCTCAATGTTTCAAGTTTGGTCCATATCATGAGATACTAAATAAATGCTCTATTGCTGTCTGACATGTGTATAAATGGCAACTAGAGGGAGGGGACGTCAGAGTGGACGAAACAAACAACCACCACCGAATTTTAACCAACAAACCTTTGTAGAGGCTATTGGCGTGGCGGCTGCTACGCTTGCACAAGCTAGTGCTACAGCCGCTACTATTGCACATAATAGTGCAAGTGGAGGACAAGGAGGCTCAAGTAACCTTCAGAAGTTCAAGGCACACAAT